GGCCTGTTCTTTATTTTTTTTATTTTTTAAAAAATATTTTATTGATTTTCTACAGAGAAGAAGGGAGAGGGATAGAGAGCCAGAAACATCGATGAGAGAGATCGATCAGCTGCCTCCTGCACACCCCCCCACTGGGGATGTGCCCGCAACCAAGGTACATGCCCTTGACCGGAATCCAACCTGGGACCCTTGAGTCCGCAGGCCGATGCTCTATCCACTGAGCCAAACCGGTTCGGCAGGGCCTATTCTTTAAAAAAAATTTTTTTTAATTTAATTTATTGGAGTGACATTAGTTAATTTATTGGAGTTACATAGGTTCCAAGTGTACAATTCTATACTGCATCATCTGTATATTGTATTGTGTGTTCATCATTCAAAGCCAAGTCTCCTTTCACCACCATTTATCCACCTTTATTCTCTTCTACCTGCCCCCATCCCCCTTTCCCTCTGGTAATCACCATGCTGCTGTCTGTGTCTCTGAGTTTTGTTTTGTTTTCTTAATCGCTTCACCTTTTTCACCCAGTTCCCAACCTCCCTTCTGACAGCTGTAGACTGTTCTCTGCATCTATGACTCTGTTTCTATGTTGTTCCTTTATTTTGTTCATCAGAGTCCACAGATAAGTGAAATCATATGGCATTTGTCTTCCTCTGACTGTTTTTTTCACTTAGCATAATGCTCTCCAGCTCCACCCATGCTGTCCCAAAAGGAAAGAGTTCCCTCTTTTGTATGGCCCAGTAGTATTCCATAGTGTAAATGTACCACAGCTTTTTGTTGTTATTGTTAATCCTCACCCAAGGATTTTTTTTCCTTGATTTTTTTTAGAGAGAGTGGAAGGGAGGGGGAGAGAGATAGAGAGAGAGAGAAACTTCAATGTGAAAGAAACACATTGATTGGGTGTCTTCTACATGGGGCCCTGACTGGGGGCTGAGGAATGACTCTGCAACCCAGGTACATGCCCTTGACCAGGAATAAACCAGAGACCCTTCAGTCGCAGGCCAACAGTCTAACCAATGAGCCACACCAGCCAGGGCAGCCAAAGCTTTTTTATTTACTCATCTACTCATGGGCACTTGTGCTTTTTCCAGATCTTAGCTATTGTAAATAGCACTGCAAAAAACATAGGAGTGCATATATTCTTTCATTTAGTGTTTCAGGTTTCTTCGGATATATGCCCAGAGGTGGGTCATAAGGCAGATCCGTTTATAATTTTTTGAGGAAACTCCATACTGTTTTCTTTTTTAAATATATTTTTATTGATTTCAGAGAGGAAGGGAGAGGGAGAGAGAGATAGAAACATCAATGATGAGAGAGAATCATTGCCTCCTGCATGCCCCTTACTGGGGATCGAGCCCACAATCGGGGCATGTGTCATGACTGGAAATCAAACCATGACCTCCTGGTTCATAGGTTGACACTTAACCACTAAGCCATGCTGGCCAGGCGATAACTATTTCTTAAGGTTGTTTTCAGATTTAAAAAGGTTGTGCAGCATTTAAACAGGTGTATTATAGCTCTTGATAAATATTGTTTTGTAAATAGCTGTTCCTTTCCACCTATAGACATAAACTCCTCCAGAGTCTAGACTGAACCTTTTTATATTTTTATCCTTAGTGTTTAGCACAGTACTGACACTTAGAAGATGCTCAAGGACTTACTGAAGGAATTGGAGGTGAGAGATAAAGTAGAGAGAAGGGCCACGGGTGACTCCACAGCTTCTAATCTGGACAAACAGATGGGTTGTAACTGACAGCGACTTCAAGGTGGGAAGCAGATTTCATTTTGCTTATTTATATGAGTAAAGTATATTCTAGTTTATACAAATTGCATTTGAGCTATCTGTGGAATACCCAGGTTAATTTATCCAAATTTTAATGGAAAAAAATACAGGTCTCAAGCTCAAGAAAGAAGTGTGGGGTAAAGCTAGAAAATGTGTCACAGGTTGCTCAACAGTGGTCTGTGGGCTAAATCCATACTATTAATGGGTTTCATTTGGCCAGAGCAATTTTTTAAAATAGAGATTATTTTTTTACAGTACTTTTAGGTTCCCAGCAAAATTGAGCAGAAGGTACAGAGAATTCCTTCATACCTCTTTACCCCCAGCACACACACTGCTTCCTCAACTATCAATATCCCCCATCAGAGGGACACATTTGTTACAGTCAATGAATCAACATTGACATCATAATCAACCAAAGTCCATAGTTTACCTTAGGGTTCACTCTTAGTGTTGTATATCCTACAGATTTAGGAAAATTTATAATTATATGTATCTGCCATTATAGTATCATATGGAGTGTTTTCAATCTTCCCTAACGATGTTCTGTGCAATTTTTAAAAATATATTTTTATTGATTTCAGAGAAGAAGGGAGGAGAGAGATAGAAACATCAATGATGAGAGAGAATCATTGATCGGCTGCCTCCTGCACGTCAATCTTCCCTAACGATGTTCTGTGCAATTTTTAAAAATATATTTTTATTGATTTCAGAGAAGAAGGGAGAGGGAGAGAGAGATAGAAACATCAATGATGAGAGAGAATCATTGATCAGCTGTCTCCTGCACGCCCCCTACTGGGGATCGAGCCCACGACCCAGGCATGTGCCCTTGACCGGAATCGAACCCAGGACCCTTCAGTCCACTGAGCCAAACCAGTTAGGGCATCTGTGCAATTTTTAAGATAAATTGCCGTTTAAAGTTGGGAGATTAGTTATAAAAACTAAGAACTTTAACTTCTGTTGAAAAATAAGACATCTGGAGATACTAATACCATGTTCTCCAAAGGCAACAACTAGCTGGAGCTTTTAGGCAGGCAGGTTCCCATGCTTAGGTTTGTTTCAATCATTTTCATTGTACCCCCACTTTACCTTAGTTGGCTCCTTTGTCTTAGATGGTAGTTGAAACAGGGAGATTAGGGAATGAGGACAGAAAGCAGCCAAGAATGGGTCCTACTAAAAATTAAGAGGTAAAAGAAAGCAGGCACAGTGGTAGGTCCTGTGTTCATTGGTCCTTCTACCTCTGGGCCCTTTTCTGGGTTTCCCTAATACTTTACTTGGCTTCTTGTTGCTTCATCAAGAATCTAATCATTGTTATTCAAAGTGATGAATACCAAGAACCTACAACCAAGATTACTTTATCCAGCAAAGCTATCATTCAGAAGTGAAGGTCAGATAAAGAGCTTCACAGATAAGAAAAAGCTAAAGGAGTTCATCACCACTAAACCAGCATTATATGAAATGCTGAAAGGTATTCTTTAAGAAGAGGAAGAAGAAAAAGGAACTCTTACCATTTGCCACACCATGGATGGAACTAGAGAGCATTATGCTAAGTGAAATAAGCCAGTCAGAGAAGGATAAATACCACATGATCTCACTCATTTGTGGAATATAATGAACATCATAAACTGATGAACAAGGACTGATCCAGAGATGGAGAGGCATTGATTGGACTGTCGGGCCTTGGAGGGAAGGTAGGGGAGGGCAGGGTTAAGGGGGAAAGATCAACCAAAGGACTTACATGCAAGCATATATGTCTAACCAATGGACACGGACAACGGGGGGTGAGGGCATGAGGGGGGGTAGGGGGTAATGTGGGTATAAGGACACATATGTGGATGAGGGCGGAGGGTGGGGTGGGAAACGGGTAGAGGGGAGCTATGGGGGGGAAAAAGAGGAACGACTGTAATAATCTGAACAATAAAGATTTAATTTTAAATAAAAGAATCTAATCATTGTTGATCTTGGAGAAGTTGGGAGTTGATCAAGAATCTAATCACTGTTGATCTTGTACTTGGAATTCCTTTCCACACTTCTTTTATTCTCTTTTCTCTTTCCTAGCAAAAGGTTAGTGAAAGCTAGAAATTAAAAATAGCTCTGTTCTTCCCATTCATTTTAATAAAACTCTTGGATTGCATACTAAGAGTGAATGAGATAGCAAGTCTTGAGGTATTTTGCCAAAATGATTAACTGACCAAAAATATTGGAGAATACTGCTTTGTCACGTAGAATAAAAATGACCTGGAATAATTACTCTTTGTAAGGGCCTATGGGTTGTTTTCTGATATTCTAATCATGACTAACATGTGGATAGCAATTTACAGTGTAAAAAGTACTTCTTACATACATTATTCTAAACTCACAACTCTCTAGTGAGATAAGTATCATCCTCCCCTTTGTGTGGTAGTTCTATTTGTACTAACATTGATTCTGGATTCTGCTTTACTATATTATTGCAAAGGCCAGCATAAAACACATGCCAACTGACGTTGTCACCAGCAAATCAAGGTTGGAAGGTATTTAAAGAAAACAGGAAAAGCCTGTGGAAAATGCCTTGTCTTAGCAACTTTAGAGTGAGATGTAATAAATTCTGGCTCTATTTGGGCAATCTCAGGCATGATGCCAAGAGGAAAAATGAAATCCTCATTTACTCAATAAAAATTAGTCAGACCTTGCCAACCTTTGACCTTGGAGGGTCTATAGTTTAAAATCATATAATTAAACTAAAACCTGTTTTCAAAGACTTCCTATAATTTTACTTTTCAGTGTTATCTGTTTTCTCTGTTGTGAATTTTAAACTACAGTTTCATCATTTATGTCCCTAAACAATAACCCAATATTACTGGGTTTTATATTATCCCTTATATAGGAATATATAAAGATCTTAAAAGTGGGTAGGGGGAAAAAAGGTAAGGGTCTGTGGCTATGATGTGAAGACCCTTGCGGAGACTGTACTGTTTTAGCCTATCTGTGAAATCTACCACAAAGAATGGAATGAGGTCTTCAAGAAGCACCCGGAAACCATGAAAAGCTAAAGTCCGTGGTTAATGTCTCCTAACCTCCCAACAGGAAGTTATTTATTGGCTCTTATTCAGCTGGCACCATTACCTAAGAAGAGCAGAAAGATAATAGTAAGGGGAAAGGGAATTTTGAAAAAGAAGAGGGGCAGAAATCAAAGACAAGTTTCACCCTCCAATTGTGTCTTAGGTCTTCTTGAGGCTCCGTTACCACCCTTGGTATGATTCATCGCCATGAGGCTTTACCTCCTATTATTCTTCCAATCTTCCAATAATCAGGGGCACGTAAAGTGCTGCATGCAGGTGTGCGCACACACAGAGACAGACGTTGCTCTGAACTTGGGATGATGCCTGTGGTTAAAGAGACTTTTCACCTACCACCTACACTGAATTTTGAAGACATACACATCATTTGGAAATTGAAACTCTCCCATATCCCTTCTATTAGCCCTTTACTCCCCTCCTCACCCCAATGAACAGCCCCACGGACAGTTTCCTCAGAAGAGCAAACACGAAAAGCTGGTTGAACAGACGGTCTGCAAAACCCTGTACTCCAGATTCTTCTGCTCGAAGACTGCACAGAAAAGGAATCAGAAATAGACACTTGGTTCAGTTCTCCCCAAATTTAAAAGCATTGTTCCTCCTCAAGAATAGAGGCCAAAATGTTATTATTACTCAACAGCTTCATCTTCAAGGGAGAAGACAATCTTGTGTTTTACTTTTAATGGTGATAGCCTATTTTTTGAAGGTCTTTTCTTCTACCATAATTATCACATACATTACACAGGTGATCCCTAAGGCTTGTCAGAGTCTGAAGGCAGATGCCCAAATTGTATTAGGTTGAGAGGCTGTGAAAATGCTACTCACATACATACTTCGTTTCTTCTCTTCCACCATTAAATATTGCGTTAGATGTCACTAGGTTTTCCACACTTGTCCCACTTGCATACCATCCACTCCATTTTTGCCAAATTTACCCATCATTGTGCACTATCTTTGTGATTGTTTCCATTTTGTTGTACTTCTGCTCTTAATTCACATTTATTTTTAAATTAACTCACACTTTTCTTATTTTAAGAGAAAAGTTGGGAAGCAATCTGTGTCCATTGATAGATGAATGGATAGAGAAAAAGTGTGCATATATACAATGGACTAGAATTCAGCCATAAAAAAGGATGAAATCTTGCTATTTAAAACAACATGGACAGATGCTGAGGGCGTTATGCTAAGTGAAATAAGTCAGACAGAGAAAGACAAATACCCTACAATCTCCTTTATATGTGGAACCTGAAAAAAACAAAAAAAAAATGAATTAATAGATACAGAGAACGGAGTGGGGGATAGAGGGTGTGTAAAATGAGTGAAGGTATACAGGCCATTTTACTGTAAGTGCTCTCAGTGCAAATGGGAAAGACAGCTCACTGAGCTCAGGGCACTGCTGCCCAGGCCAGTGTGTATAATCCACAGCTTTGGGGCCAGGACTGCAGAAGTGTGGCTTCTACTTCTATCAAGCGAGAAAGAATAAGCAGATGAGAAAGAAAAGAAAAAAACTCACTACTACCTGAAATCGTACTGACTTTAGCTTGTTCAAAAACGACTTCCCCTTTCAAAGTCACTTTGTGAGCACTGACCATACCAGAATAATGAGCATTCTCTGCGGCCGGCTGAAGGGTGAGTCAGGATTCTAAATTCTGGCTGCAGTGCCGGGGAAATGGAAACACCAGTGAAGGAGTACATCATGATGTCAGCAGTTTCTGAGGGCTGATCAAAATGCTAAAAAAAAAAACACCCCATGGTTTTATGATGCAGTGAATACATCTAAATGCCTCCCCGCCTCCCCACCCCCAAATGAAGCAAAGGGTTTGCTAAAAGCAAATCTAAAGGCTCACAAAAAAGATTTTAAAAATAATCTAAAGGCTTATGGCATCTGTCCTGAAGCAGGAAGAAGTTTTGCTATGTTTTGCCTAGCATTCAACATGGCACCATTTAAGCATATTGTGGCATTTAGTAGATGCAAAGCGATGGTACAAAGTGTGGGAGTGCAGCAGTCTCCCCAAACTCAATGTGGACAGCTCTGAATGGCATTCCCTGAATAAAATTCCTCTGTCCCTTCATTAACAATCCAAATCAAAGTTTCAGAAATTCTTTATCCCTAAACTTCACATCACTTTGAAAAACAACGATCACCAAAATGTCAACACATACAATCTCGTATAACTGACAAAGGATTGGTATCCAGAACATATAAAGAACTCTTTCAATTCAGTAAGAAAAAGGCAATAATCCAATAGAAGAAAAAATGAGCAAAATTGACCCATCTCAAAAGAAGAAACTTGAATAGCCTAAAATATATTACCTCACTGGTAATCTGGGAAATGCTAATTGAAAAAATGAGATAATGAATGAAAATTCATGTTCACACCCCAAAACTGTACATGAGTGTTCATAGTTGTATTTGTAATAGCCTAAAACTGGAAACAGTATGAATCTTTCCATGGATTATAGTTAAACAAACTGGCCCATCCATACCATGGAACACTATTCAATAATAAGGAATGGACTGTTTTTTGTTTTTAAATAAATCTTTATTGTTTTACATATGTCCTCTTCCCCCCCACCCCCCCATTTACTCCCTCCTGCCCCAGGTCTTCAGCACCCTATTGTCTGTGTCAGGAATGGACTGTTGATACACACAACTCAATGACTCTCCAGGAAAGCATGCTGAGTGACCAAACTCAATCATAAAAGGTCACATACTGCATGATTCCATTGTGTAACATTTTTGAAAGGACAACATTTTGGAAATGGAGAACAGGGATTAGGAACGAAGGAGAGGGTGGGAGGAAAGTAGGGTGGCTGTAAAAGGGCAATTAGGAGTGAATCATGTGGTGGTGTAACTGTTCTGCACCTTGAGTACAGACCTACATGCACATGAGATATAATTGTATAGAACTGAATAAAATACAGACACAGAATACAAATAAAATTGGGAAAACCTGAACAAAATTGGTGGGCTGTATCGATTTTAATATCCTGGTTGTGATATTATACTATACTTTTGCAAGATGTTACCATTGGGGGAAATTGGGTAAAGGATATGTGGATCTCTTGGTATTACTTCTTTCAACTATGTGTGAATCTACTATTATCTTAATAAAAACAAACAAAAAAGAGACAGCTTATTTCATCCATTAGATTGGCAAAAAATTAATCTCACAATATAAAGTGTTGGCAAAAATTTCAAAAACATGATGCCCTTATCCACTGCTGAGAGTATAATTTGGTATGGTCACTTTTGAGAGTAATATGGCAGACAACCAGAGATATTTAAAATACACACCTTTCATTGCCCCAGCCATTTTCCTTCTGGGTTTGTATACTCTGGGAGACTCTTCCACATGTCCTGAGCAGGCCTGTATACAAGGGTGCTTATTACAACATTGTCCATATAGCAAAACATGAATGTCCTCCAACAGGTGAATGGCTAAATACAATATAGTATATTTATAATACACAGCAGAAAAAATAATGAACTAGATAAGATTATATATATATTAGAAGCCCGTTGCACGAAGATTCGCGCAATAGGTCTTCCTTCCCCTGGCTGCTGGCACCGGTTTTCCTCTGGCACCTGGGACCCAGGCCTTTGGTCCGGCTGCAGCAGAGAAGCCAAGCCTCAAGGTTAGGCTTCTCCGCTGCAGCCACAGCGAGGCTTGGCTTCTCCACTGCCACAGCAGAGAAGCCAAGCCTCTTCAGTCTTCAGTCCTCAGTCTTCGCTCCTCTGTGCCTGCATGTGCAAATTAACCGGCATCTTTGTTGGGTTAATTTGCATAGTTGCTCTGATTGGCTGGTGGGTGTAGCGGAGTGACACCAATTTGCATGTTTCTCTTTTATTAGTGTAGAGATATATATAACAATATCAGCCCTGGCTGGTGTTGCTCAGTTGGTTGGAGTGTCATCCAGTACACCGAAATATTGTGGGTTTGATTCCCAGTCAGGGCACATACCTAGGATTAGGGTTTGAACCTGGTCAAGGCATCCATCTCTCTCTCTCTCTCTCTCTCTCTCTCTCTCTCTCATCAATAAGCATATCCTTGGATGAGGATTTTTTAAAAAGAAGCACAATATCAAATTTGAGAAGCAAAGTACAGATTGATATTTATTTATTCAGAAAATATTTAAATGCCTCTCCTGTATATGTAGCTGTTCTAGAACCTGGAAATACAGCAGAAAATAGACAAAGCCAGACAAAGTCTTTGCTTTGTGGATATTATGTTCTTGTAAATGTAAGGGAACACAAGTTAGTAAACAGATATACTATTTATGTAAAATTTTAATTGTTCATGTAGGGTTTGATATGTATTTATATATAAATAATTTTTAATATACATATAAAATAGAGCAGGAGGATATTTTTTATATCAGGAGGAAAGAAAAAATGTGGGACTTGCTTGGGGTGAGGTCAAAGGGAACATTAGCTGTATCACTAATATTTGAATTGCTTAAAAGCCATTCTATTGCCAGGTATATAAATTCAAATGTTCTCTTTTGTAGTTACAATGCATAATTGAAAGATATTTTCCTAGCAAAAAAATTTACAGTCTAAAGTTAATGTTCCTTAAATTGAAGTCTGAGTACAGCTCTCAAGATTGAAAAATTGATTACTGATTCATCCTTTCCAAACACATGATTAATTTATAAACAAAATGTCCATTTGTTTAAATTTCCAAAGAAAAGGGCTGGAGATATAGGAAACAAATGTATAGATTAGATTTTGACTCTCCTTTTCTTACCACCACTGCAATTGATTGGATTAATCAGGTTATGAGTATAACTAACAGTCCCTTATGATATGTGGGTTAAAAACACGGGTCCAAAAAATGCAACAACAAAAAATCAGTTCTTTTTGGGACTTGTAGGAACTCTGCAACTCTATAGGTCTCCTATTCTCATTTAAAATGAGGGAATTAGACTAAATACTCTGAGATTAGACTAAATATTCTTGATCTTAGATTCTAATTCACCCAATAATATGAGCTGTCAATTTACTCTTTGAAAATCAATTACATTATTTTGTAAATTATGAGAGCTACATGATAAAATTGTACATTTTATAATACTGTCTCAAAGAATAATTTAAGACATCCTGTCAAAATAGTATTTGGAAATGATTTAAACACATTATTTTTCTATTCCTACCTATTTCAAAGTTTCAATAATGTAAGTGCTTAATAAGAAATTACTTTTTAAAAATGAATGCATCTTCCTAGGTGGAGTTTCTCAGTGGTTAGAGCATTGGCCCGCTTCAATCCCTATCAAGGGCATGTACCTGGGTTGCAAGTTTGATCCCCACCCAGGTCAGGGCGCCTGTGAAAGCTAATCAATGGATGTCTCTCTCTCTCTCTCCCCACTCGCTCTTTCCCTCCTTTTACTCTCTCTCACGTGAGGACAAAATAAATAAATGAAAATGAATGGGTAGTTTTACTTTAAAATTATTTGCAAATAAAGTTTTTCTCTTACCAGTTAGTTTGCAGCAGTAGAGACAGTTTCAATTTGAGGTCACAGAGGGCAAAGCCAACATGGAACGCTAAGTTATTTTTTTAAGAATAGGCCAAACCGGTTTGGCTCGGTGGATAGAGCGTCAGCCTGCGGACTGAAGGGTCCTGGGTTCGATTCCGGTCAAGGGCATGTACCTTGGTTGCGGGCACATCCCCAGTGGGAGATGTGCAGGAGGCAGCTGGTCGATGTTTCTCTCTCATCGATGTTTCTGGCTCTCTATCCCTCTCCCTTCCTCTCTGTGAAAAATCAATAAAATATATTTTTTAAAAAAAAAGAATAGTTATTGGGCCGAAACCTGGGCATGTGCCCTGACCAGAACGAACCAGCAATCCTCCAGTTCATAGGTTGAAGCTCAATTGAGCCACACAGATCAGGGTGGAATGCTAAGTTATTCATCAGTGTTTCACATTTTCCTTATCATTAGTTAGAATTCTCTACATATCATTTTAAGGAGTCAATGGGAAATTGTAGGATTAGGTCTCAGTAACTACTGGGACGCTGGAAGCTTTGTGTTTAAGCATTCTGCCTCTGTTTGAAGCGTGTCCTGTCATTTATTTACTCTATTACCTTTAACAGATTACTTAAGTCCTCTGGACTTTTTTCCTCATGGGGATTTTGTGAAAACATATCAAAAGGTTATAGCCTGGCTGGTGTTGCTCAATGGTTGAGCATCAACCTTTGAACCAGGACATCATGGTCAGGACACATGCCCAGATTGTGGGCTCGATCCGCAGTAGGGGGCATGCAGGTGGCAGTTGATTAATGATTCTCATCATTGATGTTCTATCTCCCTCCCTTCCTCTCTGAGATCAATAAAAAACACATTTAAAAATAGAATAATAAAGAGGCTATAAACAATGCCTGGCATATAGCAAGCGCTCAATAAGTAATAATAACAATCATAATGGATAACACGAGTAGATATTACTCTATGCTAGGCACTGTTTTAAAACTTTATACTATTAGCTATTTATTATATAACTGATACCTATTTCAGGATTTAGCTTAGTAAACTATGTTTCTGCTTCAGAAGCGGGCAGGATAGGTGGAAGCAATTTATTTTCCTTAACTTTAGCTGCAAACATTCCAAGTCACACAGACTATTTTCCTGCTGGCTGAGATAAGACATGGAGGAGTTTTAAAGGATATATACCATTTCCTTTCCTTTTATCAGCAGAAGCTAAGGCATACACTATGCAGTTGAGCTCTTTAGCAGAAATTAAGAGTTGGCAAGTATTGCTATTCAACTGGTATGGATTTTAAGAAATCCTGAATCATGCTGAATCATAGCATTTTAGTTGGTCCTCTTAATACTTTCTTATGGCCCTGTCATCCTACAAGATTACGGGCAAGGCCTGTGACTTAACTAGTCACCTTTGTAATCACTACATTGTTGAGCACAATAACTGGGTAAGACTGAACACGAGGGGAGGAGGGGGATAAAACACATTTACTGCCCTAGCCAGTTTGGCTCAGTGCATAGAGCATTGGCCTATAGACTGAAAGGTCCCAGGTTCAGTTTCTGTCATGAGCATATGCCCGGGTTGCGGGCTTGATTCCCAGTGTGGGGAATATAGGAGGCAGCAGATCATTGATTCTCTCTCATCATTCATGTTTCTATCTCACTCTCCCTTCCTCTCTGAAATAAAAAAAAATATATTTTAAAAAACAGCCAAATTTACAGAGGAGGAAAATATAACAGGAACCTTTCTTCAAATACAGTTGGCAGTTTATCTTTTTAGTGGATTGTTTTTCTTTCTTATTTTTAAATGTCTCTGTGAATAGGTGTTTTTATCTTTTTAGTGGATTGTTTTTCTTTCTTTCTTATTTTTAAATGTCTCTGTGAATAGGTGTACCCAAGGGCATATCCAGGCAGCACGAGTAAATGGAGTTAAATCCCATCATAGACCTTCTCTGGAGATAGTCAGACTGCCTCATGATCAGTTTGGTTCTATTAATAATAGTCATTATGGAAAGCTGGATGCCAGGTAGAGAAGAGCCATTAGCTATTACTACTCCCAAAGCCAAGCAGCAAAGATTACATTATATTTCCATTCCTTCTACTTAAGTCTTTTAAATCCTATAGAAGAACACTATGTCCAGTGTCTCTATTTCACACCCACCCTCATTAAAAAAAATATTAGGAACATTCATCCTTGAATAGCAAACATTTATGTAGCTCTATGGTTGGAACTGTAAACAAAAGTCAAGCCAGGAAATATTAATTTATGTTTCTTAAGACAATTTTAACTTGTCTTCCTTTATGGCATGGATGCACCCAAGGTGGACTGCCTACCTAGCCTCTTGCACTTGTTAAAATCAAAGGCAAACAGAGACCAACATTGAAGACTCCCTGAGCAGATAAAACCAGTTTAGTCATTAATTCAGCTTAATTACCAATCACTGCAAAAACACTATTTTCTCACTGCATAAGCTGCTTTGTAACGGTAAATCCCTGCAGCTCATTTGAGTGCTCCTAGTTTATAAACTGTCTTTTTGGCATGTGCACTGTAAATTTTTACCAATTACTACTTCAGTGACTCTTTGGTTTTATTTTGGCTATTTCTGAACCTTTGACACATTACACTGACTCACTTAGGAAAGCACTACTAAAATGTCTGCACTTATAGTATTCCTTACCTCAAGATATTATAAATATTAATCAGTCAGAGAGGGGAAATCTATAAAGCTGTGTAAGCTTATTGGTAACAAAACAGTTATATTATTGGTAACTCCCGTGTTACAACTCAATACATCAAGTGCTAGTCAATTCAATCTTATTGGAAATGGGGCCTTTTTATTCTGAATTTTAAAATGTTAAGTTTAAATTGTGTCAGTCAACAAAAATTTTAAAAAGATCATTAGTCTTTAAAATAGTCCATGCCCTTGCCCAGCCGGTGTTGCTCAGTGGTTGAGCATGGACCTATGAACCAGGAGATCATGGTTTGATTCCCAGTCTGAGCACATGTCTAGGTTGCTGGCTTGATCCCGTGTGGGGTGTGTAGGAGGCAGCCGATCCATGATTCTCTCTCATCATTGATGTTTCATCTCTGCTTCTCCCCTCTCCATTCCTCTCTGAATAAATATTTAAATTTTTTTTAAAAAAAAGCAGAGGTCTTAAGACTTCAACTTAAAATTTTTTAAAAAAATTAAAGTCCATTTCCTCTTTATGTTGACAATCTGCTAAATGCTTTACAATGACTAAGTAAGCCCTAGTGATTTGAACTCAGGTTTAATACCTGACCCTTAATATCTGTGCTTTTAACTACTTTACTGTCTCTTCACAAACATGATTTCAAAAGTCACACTACCTTGAGGCGGGAAGGATTCAATGAGTTGAAACTAGGGCAAAGAATAGGATAGTCATTAAAGGATAAAATGGACATTGCTGGGATATACCAGCCAACAACATGGGTTGCATACTAAACTCAAGCTGCATTTTAAGTGTGTAAGAGACTATAGTACTTCCAGGACCTTTTAAAGTTCGAGACTGGAGATGACACTTGGTTGTAGTTGTTTTTAATATATTTTATTGATTTCAGAGAGGAAGTGAGTAGAGAGAGAAACATCAATGATGAGAGAGAACCTTCGATGGGCTGCCTCCTGCACGCCCACACTGGGGATCGAGCCCACAACCCGGGCATGGGACCCGACTGGGAATCCAGCCGTGACCTCCTGGTTTGTAGGTCGATGCTCAGCCACTGAGCCACACAGGCAGGGCCTTTTCTTTTTCATTACACGAAAATTATGCAAGACTCTCTAATTCTTTAGTTCGCATTGAACAACTTACGTTGATGTCATCTTAACAGTACCTATGAATATATATATATAT